TCAATCATTGTACATAATTGTCAGGTATTTATAGTTTTTAGTGAGAACGAAATCATCATTACAGTCTTCCAATCCGCATACAGGGGGTTATTAGCATTATCCAATCGGGAAGCTACAAGTTGGAATTCTAGAACATTCTTCCGAAAGGTGATTGGATAAGACGTCTTCGTCTCCTTCTGAGCCTCTTACAGTATCTAAAGTATAATAGAAAATCAGAAGTTCAACATAAGCTTCCAAGTCTTTTCGAAACTCATATCATCATTCATGAACATCTCTAGATGATAAAATCATTCGATTTATTGTAATTAGTTTATTTTTCATAGATTCTTTTAAATTCCAGATAATGTCACTTAGACAATAGTGATAAAAAAATTTAGTTGATCATTTCATCCTATATCACATCGTCATTATGTGTAAATTTTGTTAACAAGTCAGTAGTGTCAGTGCTAAATAGTTATAAAGTTTTGTTACATTTTTATGATATTTTAAAAAAAGGGTTATATAAGATACTCTTGGAGTTCTAGTGGGAAGCCGTCACCAGTGGAGTACAACCAGGTCTGTTGTAAGATATCAGTTCACTGAAGACAATGGTATATGGTGGCGCAACTTCGTGGATTGGTTGAAGTTAGACATTAACACCGCTAAATGCCGGCTCAGTGGTCTAATGGTTAAGTGCTCGCGTGCGAAGCCAGTAGGTCCTGGGTTCGAGCCCCGCGTGGTGCGGGATCGTGGATGCGCACTACTGAGGAGTCTCATACTAGGACGAAACGGCCGTCCAGTGCTTCCAGGTTTTCAATGGTGGTCTAGCTTCAACTGACTCATGATTTAAATCTGTGAAAATTTCTAAAATCTCCACAAACCCCTTCTGATTATATATAAGTATCAAGAAGTTATTTCTAATCTGTTTTCTACGATAGTTTAGTTTATATTACTGAAACTGTAATGAAATTGAATAGAACTAAATAATAAATAATCAGATTTTATCAAATGATATATCAATGCAACTATGATTTCTAATAGCAATTGTATAGAAATATAATTAAGTATAGAAAAATGATAACTGTAAGGTATCGCAAAGTTATTTATTTTAACACATAGATATTGATACAAGAAGGCATGAAATACATATGTGCACTACGCAGATCTCATTTGATATGTATCAGAGCTGTGATACTGCCCCGGTGCCCAAACCGAAATAGGTTAAGAAATTCAATAATGTATGTATATAATTATTGGATTTCAGTTCTCATATTCTGATGAATAAAATTATTCCCCAACATTGTTAGTACAAGTATAATCTTTGAATGCAATTAACTTATAACAAGTTAATACCTTGTTAACAATTGATCGATTCTAGTCTATTTGTTAAGGAATATAACATTTCTGTTAAAATCTAAACTAGATTAATTATTCGAAAATAGTTTGTTTTTTACATACTATTCCTTACGACTCAATCCAAATATGATTACGGACGTAATAAGTTATACATAATTAAAATGAGTTGTAACATCAGAATTCAGTTATAAACATTTCTCATATGACTGTGTTAATGTTAAGAAAGCCGCTTTCCATAGTGAGATATGTTTACTGCTTCAAATTATAACAGAATCTTTAATTAGTTATTAATACTAGATATTGAAAGCTGATCTCTTCCATTATTTGCATCTAATAAGTGATCAATGTTTTAGTTTTAATTCATATTTGAAAATTATCAAAATAAACCATTTGGTTAATGTTTCTTTAGTAAATTCGCTATTCAATTGATCCAATATTTTCGACAAAATTTGGTTGTACAGAATAAATCTGTAATATGCATATTTAAAGAGTAGTTACACAAATAACTTATGCATATAATCTGTTTATCTTACCATCCAAAGTTTAATTATTCATCTAAATGTAACGTTTTAAGGTCCAAGAAATAGGATAACATATTCATAAACTTTCTAAACTGTATCAAATTTAATAATCACCAGTACATGTCCGCAGGAGAAAACAATATTTGTAATAAGAGACCATGTTAAAACATTATTCAACTTCATAGTTAAAAGTGATTACTGTAATATAAGAATTTGTTGAACATCTTATAACTGGAATATCAAGGCGCTACATCACTGGAAATATGAATCATTGACAAATGCATATGGAATTAGTAAACAAAGAGAATAAGTTACTGAGATAACCAACTTAAGTAGATTTTATATCGTAAACCAATTATATATATATTACGTCACAGAAGTCTATGCCCGAAATGAGCATTATTATGTTATATGGAAACATTAGCCAAGTCTTTGTTGAGCGATTTTCTAGCTTATTGTGTTTCAATTTCCCCATTTCGTATCAAAGTAATAAAGCAGTAGAGTAGAAACACAATGGTCGGGAGCCGAGTTTAGGAAGACACTAAGAAAATAACAGACTTAAAAATGTTATCGCTTGAAGTAAAAACAAGTCTGACATCTCCGTAATGAAACTTAGACAAGACTGCTAAGCGAAACACCGAAGTTATTTTAATTTCAAGTCCCAAAACTTTCACATAAAACAGAAACTTTATATTTTGAATTATTAAACTTACTACTAGCTAGTAGTTCCAAATATTAGTTGGAATAATTCGCCTACTCAGTTTTGGTTACTTTTGTGCTCTGGTTCTCTATGCTTATTTTCTGACGAAAAAACCTAACATCATTGTATACTTCTTAAAAATTGAAACCCCACAAAAGTTTAGTTTGTTCGGGAATTCGCTTGGGAAATAAGTTTTAGTAAATAAACAGTCAAACAGACAGCTTTAGTTACATAGTTATAGGGAAGATTTTGAATAAAATAAGATGAATGAAACCTAAAACATCCTGAATGATAACTACTTGGTTTTGTTCTGAGATTTTTCACCATGCATGTGTTAATTAACGCTGATGTTGCAAAGAAATGAAGGATCTAAAAGATGAATGAAAATTTAGGGAGAGTTGTCTGTCCGATATGGGATTGTACATTTTGGATAAGAACGGAGAAAGGAATCTAGGAAAATCATCCTGTTATACTCTGACGAAACTAGAGATAGAAAATTGGAAATGATAGCATGCCATCAGGATAGAAATACTATTTCTGTTTGATTAACGTCAATCTATCCTAACTCAACTGTAAAATGCTTGACAGAAGTGTGAGATTTCGTAAAGTAAACATCAACCCGAACAGGTTGCTTTAGAGATTAAATAACAATGAATGATCCTCAGAAACTGCATAAGCAACCTACTGCAATATCTTTTTTCATTTATGATTTACAAGACTACAGAAACGAAGGTTTGAAAAGAAAATGATGCGTTCTGAAATCAATCAACATGGTAAGCGAACTAACACTTCAAAAATGTAATTGGGATCGTAATCAGGTAACTAAATGATTTTTTAGAAAGATTTGATTTCATCATCTTAAACAGGCCACTGATTTATCTTTCTTCAAAAAGGGTATAAGGCAAACGAAAATCAGCTGGCTACATATATATAGTACCTTACATCTATTAGAATCGATTTTCAACATATAATACAAATTGTCTTTGAAGGAAATAAACGAAGTGTTTTGTCGAGTATTGAAGTTGAGGTGACTGTTATTTATCCAAAGAAGTCGATTCGAACAATTCGCTGACATCGTGAAAATACACTTAACGACATCGTTCAATTAGCTTATACTCCTTTTACATTAATCTAGAACCCTTAAATCAGTTAACATTGTTAGTCATGGAAGCATGTAATTTAGGGAAGTTGTGGCAATGGATTATCTATTGATCTATAAGCACCAGATGTGCAAAATCTCAAGGAGTATGTTGACAAATTATTTGATATATCTAGATGGAGCTCCCAATACAAGGCAACCATGATTTTTATACGTACTGCCCATTTTCAACTCAAGTTAAAAAGGAAGAACTCTAATGTGAACTCATGATTTATTCTTTTTTAGATCTTACTAAAATATTTCTTTAATCCCTGTATATGTTGCTCATTTGGTTATAGCTTTTGACACTGATTTTTGAGTACTATATCCTAAATACATAAAAACAACCAATCTGCTATCAGGATTTCTATGTTATAGAACAACCTAAATACAATTCATCAATTAAAATGCTTCAGTTGATTTCCTGAGCAGTCAGACAAAACAAATGTTGTTCCAAAGACAAGTGGTGAGAGGAAACTGTGGGTAATCTACTGTGAGTAGATAAATTATTCACCAACACAATTTCACGACCTACATATCCCTGTCTCGGTTAAAAATATGTCGGGAACGGTAAATTTACAAACACTTGGTTTTAGGAATCAACTTCTAAAGTTACATATGGACTTAAAGTGGGTTTTGATCATTAACTTTTAGTGCAATACCATTTGCATTGATTTAATCCGCATAAAATTAGTTCAGTGTTTCAAGTCATTTCATCGCTCTAGTCAGTATTTAAGCTATATTGCATTTAAGTGATGGCTCCCAAGACCTTAAGTTCCGCGATTAATAACCATTAAAATCAATCGATGTGCAATTGAATTACTTTGGCTACATATCGCCCTTCTTCGGTCTAAGAGTTGCCAGTCGGAGTAGGTGGGGCTGAAAGAGAACAGAAACGTTGTATATGGTATCGGAGTTACCGTTAGAGAAATTGCTGCCATCCTGCAAACGTATCACATGTAACCTATAATTTCCCATAAATTTTGAGCAAATTATTCAGCCTTTAGTAGTAAAGATCACACGTAGTCTTGATTCTCTTTATCATCGCAGGTTAGTCAGGCGTCAAGTTCGCAATTAGTGATTGAATCGAGCTATAGGATACATCTTCAAAAGACCCTTACCACAACAGAAGAATAAACTACTATCAATATGCTAGACTCCAGCTAGTTTGATGTTCAAAAGACAAACTTCATCATAAATTCGGGAGAATTATTCTGCCGTTACTTCACTTGATCGTGTTAGGACATAAACGTTGCAAGTGTAATCAAGAAGCAAAGAACATACTTCAAAACAAATCAGATTTCCGTTCGGTAATACGTACGAAATTCAAAAGGTAAAAAATCCATATTACCCAATTAGAACATAGAATTCTCGAACATGCATTCAATAACATCTATTACGTACTCACACCATGTATCGAGAAGTATATTTCAGTTTTAACAAAATACAATGCGACTGTACCCTAAAGTGTCAGAAGAGTTACACAGAAAATAACAAAATGAATAATGTACAATGTCTTTTACTACATAATGATAATTGTGAAGAAAAACTCATTGATTATGATGAAATGCCTGTATGATTCTCTTCTGATATTTCAACACACATTTCACCTGAACCAATTCCAGTAAAACAATCCTCTGTAGCTAACCCCAATAATTTACGTTGATTCATTAAAGCATTCGCTAGTGTAGAACATTGTAGAAACTTATTATCTGGTGGGTTTTTTGACTGTGAAACATTTTTTAATACAATTGGGTCAGAACAATTTGAACTTCTATCATTTTCATGTACATTAGTAGATGACAGCTGAAGAAAGATTGAATTTCTTTTTAAAACATTACATTTTAAATTTCGACGTCCAGTACGGGACTTTTTGAAATATTCGCATGCTGAATTACACAAAGGAGTTGGGAAAAATTCTAGTAGTTTATCATCCATAGAAGCACAGTTGCTTTCAAGTGAATTGGATAATACAAACTGAGTCTAAACATTAAAGAAAAAGCGATCAGATAATAAATAAGATCTGGGAAAATGACCTTTTTGTTTACGTATTAAAATATAAGCGGGTAAAAATTTGAAAGTCAGTGAGAAACGCTTAAGCATTAATGTAGTCTACTAATTCATAGTAGTAATTGGAATATCATTGTCACTAATTCATGGACATTTTAGTGTGACAGAACATGATCAGTAGGACTTTTGAAAGTAACGTGAAGTAACAAAAATCACTTCTGAAAAAACAAAAGTGAAAATCTATACTACTTATTTTAAGAATACATTATCAAGCTGAGTATGGAAAAGTAGATTTAATGTAGGCTATTAAACAGCTGACTATAGACTGGAAGTCTTCTGTACGGATGGCTAGCATCATAAATTACAAACGAGGTTTATACGACGTTTATGAGATGTAGCTATTAAAATATTGAAAACTGAATTGACATTGGAGGCTCCAACAACAAAAATTCCTAGAAAGAAAGAACCAAGTTAATATCACCATCAAACTTAATTCTATATACTCGACTGCTTTTTACACAGTTTGTGTGAAGTTTAGCTAAAGTAACCTGCTTTTCAAAACAAAGTAGACGGAGTAACTTAGTGGTCGAAATTAAAGCGCATTAACCAATAACCTACTGTTCCACAAAGGACAAGGCGTACCAATCACTGGATTGATCTAAAAAATAAAGTGCACTCAAATAGACTATCACTGGCATATTATGAAATAAATTTTCTGTTATAGAGTTTGAAAATAGTCAATTAATAAACATTCTTCAGAGACAAAGATGGTTGAACAGGGTAGCCGTACATCCTTATCTGGAATGAGGGCATGTCCTACAGACAAAAAAAGACTGCTCCCACTGACACGTTGTAAACTCGGTATTTTAAAGTTAGACTAACATGTCAATGGATCAGAAAAAACTTCATATTCCCATAAGCCACTTTGGCTAGCAAAAGAGAAAGACTACTACTTACATGTGAGATGTTTTCAAAACACAAAAATTTGAACACATTATACTACAACAGAATAGAGCAAAAAAATTTAAAAGAAACATTTGTAAGTCTTACTTGAAGCTCCTTTTCAGAAATTAGGCTGACCCTGTTAGTGGATAGACTCGGCTTTTTGTTATCAGGACACTCTATCTGCAATCTTCGTTTTAAAGCACATTCTTCACGCTCCTGCATAATCACTCGACGGTGAGATATTACATTTTTAAGTTCTTTCAGTACAGTAACATGCATACCTGATGATGGGTTCTAAATAGGAGAGAATGTAAAGATTTTGTGAAATGAATTTCCCGAATGAAACATTATCAGTCTTGAGCCTAATATCATCCTGGACTTTAAAGTTTTCAGCTTTATTACTTCCTTTTAAAGACATTCTGTTTGGTTTGGCATTACCATTGGTATTACATTTATCTATTTATTTGTTGCCTGTCATTGTGTTGATGTGATATGTGGGAAAGCAGACCGACCTATATCTGCCACCGATCCCGCGTTGAGTATCCCCGTGTACCTGTTTACAGAACCCATTCGTTTTATGTCGTCACAATAATCTTGCGTGGTCACATACTTGCTGTTTTTGTATTGATAACCCCAGCCAACCAGGTCATTTTTAAACTATTTTAGTTTCAAATTAGATGATATCACTGAGTTTGGTGTTTAGATTAACGTGTTTCATGATGGGATAACTCAAAATCTATTCTCAGTGAAGTTACGATCATGGCAGATATCAAGATTTAATAGCGACACCATGATTTGTGATGCAGGTAATTTAATATTAGAGTAATGTTAGACGTCTCAAAGTACTATTCAGAGCTTTCAAATACTTATTTAACAAATTTAAGTCCCTGAGACCTAGACGAAATAACTAGTTTTAAAAAACATGATCTTAACTATATAATAAACATTATGGATTTATTAAGAACAGGTTTATGTATCAAGTCTACTAATGCTACGCGTATGCCCAAGCCAATATGTAGTAGAAATCGAACTTGTAACCTATCAGTTAAAAGATAAACGGTTTAACCACCAAGCCACCAGTTCAACTTAATTACTTTCAAAACCATACGACAAAGGTTATAACACTTACCTTTAGCGAATTCACGCAATCAACATTTTCGTACTCCGCTTCAGATTCACGACTAGAGGAGTCTCCAACAGCTATATCTTCTAATACCTAGGTATTCACAAAGCACCATGTGACAAACAGAAAACCTATTAGAGAATATCTCACAATACAGAACATAAACTCATGAGAAAATTGCTGGGAGAAAATCAATGAGAAGCAGAAACAATGGGTTATTTTACTCAACCAGTAGTTTCACAAAAAAAATGACCGGCGAAAATTTGGTAAATTTCGAAGTAAATACTATTACAGACCGATGATTAATTGACAACCATATACAACCAAGGAGCAGTAAAAAAGAATTCGCGTTCTAGTTGATAATAGGGACTCAAGACCCTTAACAGAATTAGATCAAGGATACCATGGCCTATAGTAATCTTCGAATTTACTAAATTTCAATTATTCATCTAATCGATTAGTAATTTATCTCTCGTTGGCCATGTAACGGAGAGTCAAGACCCAAGTTAAGGCATGCTGACAATACTACTTAGTCATTATACCATATTGTCAAACTGACTCAGGTTCACATATTTGAATTTTCGACTTGGTGATAGTATTGTATAGAGCTTGCCATGATAAGAGCTGGCTAATTTCAACCCGAAGGCGGTAGATGTATAGTGTTGTAAAGTCTCAAACTTGATTAAGGCAACTACTGAGTGCTACTTAATCCTCAACTGATTTTCAGAAGATTTTAAGTAAATGTTGGTTAAGTAATGCATTATTTTGGTATCCGACGTTAACTGGCAGTCAAACTGTATCTCAAAATTATGTAGAAGTTTTAATGTTTTAAAACTACTTACTAACCAATCATCAAAATTTTAATTCCAGTTTCGTCTTAACATTTTAACATCAAGAAAAAAAATCAAATATTCTCGTCGTTTGCCACTAAACGATAAAATAATATTCTAGGTACAAGATTATTGGAGCATAATACTAGATCATGTAAAATATATATACATGATTCACGACCAATGATTGAGAGCTAGACAGTAGTTGTCTTAGTACAAATACAAGCTGTCTACATATGGTGAAACCCAAAATAGAAAGGAATCCAAAATGTTCAGTAGTGTCCCACAGATTCACCGCAGCTGGGTGTCTGATCATCTCTATTTGCTGGCCAATCACATATTAGTTTTAATAGCCACACATTATATTTTAACTCGTGTATTCATATTCCTTGTAATCAAATTTCTCTGAAATATGGATATCGCAAGTCAAAATACAATCAAAACCCTGTGTTTTTCTAATCAGTGATTACAATGCTCAAACAATCTTTTAATTTTCAACATATCATAAAGAAAACAGAACCACAAGCCGGAAACCTCACCAGGGAACATCAAGTACCTGATCAGAGTAAACACTTCTTAACCGTAGTGGAAGAATACACCAACCTATTGCAAATCAGTAACGGAAAAGTATTTGACTACTATATATACACTTAAGTAAATAAGAGTGATTTTCAAATAGCTGGTGAAAAGTTGGATTCCTTTACTGTCCCTTAGAAAATGATGTGAATGTAGTTTTGAACAAATGTTCTTTTCCATAAGCATACTACTGTTATTTGACGTGGTTACAAATTCCACGTTACTTTTTTATCAAGCCAAGTACCTACACTGAGCATTGCATAGACATAAAATTTTATTGACTTTTGATCCGTGAAAATCACAAAGTTAAGAATTAATGAAGATTTTCATTTAAAATATATTTCCACTTCAGCACCAGCCAGATAGGTAAAGCAGTAATTTTATGTCAGATGAACTTGTTTAAATTAATTTGTTCTCCAATCTATGATTTACGAAGCTATGAGCAAAACACAATAGCTAATGTCAACCAATTAGATAACATGAAGTAAACATGATGAAGTTTTTATACTGAGACCACATAACTAGACCATTCTCATAGTTAGCTAATTAATACAATTATTACACAGTATAAGTCAAACTAAGAACTTATGATTAAGTACATTTGTGCAAGTACTCAAAAACATTTTGCTACATACATCATCCTCTACAATTGGATCCACAGCTTTCAGAACATCTTTACTAGATGAAATCCCATCTCGGCAATATAGGAAGTCAACAGTAGTTTCTATATTCTCTTTTGAAATATCAACATTGTCTGCGGTTTGAGCATTATCCAATTCATTCAAAAAAAGCAGGGATGCATTCAACTGACAACGTATAAGACTAACTAAATTGGAAAAGGTTTCATTCGAAACAAATGACGTATTACAATTTTGTTCAACATAAGACTTCAAATTGTTAGCACTATGGAAATAAAGAATAAGTTAGATATTTGTAGCTTGTTATTTTTCTCAAAATACTCAATATATCAGAAGACAATTTTACAAGAAGTTGCAGTACATGCAGATAGAAACAAAACAAAACTAAGTATCTTTACTACATCACCATAAATCTTGGATTTACAATGTTGTAATCACAGTCTGAATGTAAATTAATCTTTATTATTATCTGTTTTTTTATGAGTAAAAGATATTAGTGCTGAATTTCTTACTATAAAGTGATGTCAACTATAAAGTAAATGATTCTGGTTCGAATTCAAAAAGCATTAAGTTTATATTCAAAACCCTTGAAATACGTTACGGGTGAATACTAACAAGTAAGAAACATATGTCACGCCGATTACTACCAATTACTTTAAAATGAATGGTAAAAATCCGGCTTGCCTATTTACTTCGTCATATTTATTTAGATCGAAGTCAATAATTAGTGTAAGCGCTAAGACACATTTGTTCTATACCAGTATAAATTAAGTTACTGAAAGCTGCAAATTGCTGTTGGATATTAGCGTTCCATATCAGACAAGTCCATAGAGTAGTTCGCATCCAACAAACTAATCTTATAGCTCACTCTATCAAGCATCAGCCTGGTTATTAAAAAGCTGATGGTTTGAATCAAGCTATAATTCAAATTTCCGTCTAACTTCAACTACCGAATGCACAAAATTTCAAACCCCTAACCAAAGCTACTTCATGTATTTTTTTCTATTTCTACTGCTCAAAGCAATCCGTATGTCTACATACCTAGTTATCTATGCCTAAAATTTATGAATAACGCAAGTATGATCACTAATCACAAGTTTCGACTGAACGTGAACTTCTATAAATGTGACATTGTGGATAGCAGACGTTTGAAGTTGAGATATAAGACATAAAATATATACCAACTAGTTCACACTCTTTCTTCACGTCTTAGTTGCTAAGTTCTGGATATAAATAATGTAATAATAACTCGAATAATGACGACAAACGGTAAATATAAGCACTGTAATCTTGAAATACATATTCTAGGTGCAAACGGACAACAAAACAAGCAATGAAACATAGGTTTGTAGTGTCCTGTTAATTAACTTGAAACATTCAACAGCAATGCCTTGCCGAAAAGTTCAAAGGAAAATGGAGACCAAAAATGGGAAAAAATCACCCCTCACGTATAAATAAAAACTGAATGGAGTATTATGATGTAATTTATCAACCAAGTATACGTTTTTGCATTTGGTTATAGGACATGCCTTGTTTTTTATGAGGGATAGTGATACAAAACGGGTTGCCGAAATCGAAGCAGAGTAAGCTGGATTCAAACATGTAGTTCATCGGTTGACTGTCGAGCGTCTTAATCACTAAATCATTGCTTCATTGCAATAATGTACTCAGATAAAAGAAAACACTATTCATGAAATCAAAGGTCAGTCAGTCATAGGTAACGTAGATCTAAACATGATATCGGAATGCGTAACAGAAGAGGAAAATAATACACGACTAGTCAAAAAGAAAAGTATAAAATATGGAGGAATAACTGAAACAAACATTATCATACAAAACACGTAGAATGCACAACTTACTGTTCCAATGAAACAAGAAGATGAAGCAATAATTCGTGAGTTATTCGAGCCTCTGTTCGTTTATAGAGATTTTTGACTTCACTTTCTCCAGATACACATTCTTTTGCAGTTCGAGCATCATTATGTATGAGCTTGCCATTTAAAATCATTGAATGCAATTCATTCAGTTTATTGAATTCATTTCTTATTCTGGTCAAAAAGTAGTCCCATTTCCATACCGACATAATCAATCGTACTAAAAAACGAAAATAAACAGAATCAATATTATTAAGTCCTATATTGTGGTGTAACTCATATACCAAGCATAGATTTGTGTACTCAACTTTAACTCATACAGTTTATGTAAACGCTACAACAATATTACCCGGCTCCTCAAACGGAATTAAATAAAGTCATTCGCATCTTTAACCTACTGGTTGAAAGTGAAATGGATTAACCACCACTTCCCCCAAATGCCCTGGTACGGCCGAGAGTGGGGAGAGTTCGCTCTCCCTCTCGAAATTCTCTCACATGGCCACACGTATATAGCCTCTGCCAGAGAAGTCATACTCACTGCCTTCTAGCTACAGGGGTGTTGTTTACGAAATTGAGAGGACGAAAAGCGGATATCTGGCGCCTTAACAGGGTTGGTGGGCATGGAGAGTCCACCTAGGGGAGTTGGGAAATCCTGATTCCAAACCAATGATGCACATGGGCTCCAGTATCCTGAAGGAACAAATGGCGTATGAACCAATCGTTGGTCACCAGCTTCCATGGGAATGCATCTCCTTACGATGCTCCACTGCCTTGTGGATCAGACCCTCAGGTCGAAGGCTCGGGGTGTGGCCCCCTAAAAAAACCACCTGCTTCGGTCTGGGCACCCGGGCAGTATCACAGCCCTCACACATATCGAATGAGATTCGTGTGGTGCATATGTATTTGGTGCCTCCTTGTACCAATATCTATGTGTTGAAATAAATAAATAATCTTTACATGGAAGAATGGATGAATCGGCATTTGGACGAATAATTTAACATTGCTTTAGCAGCACTTATTCCATCTCCCTAGTATTTTGACAAAACTTAGAAAAGTCTACTATATACTATGTAATAAATTTGTCATGTTCAAAATTAGTGTGAACGTATTTGTATAAGTCGAATAGCACAGGAATTTCTCATATTACGGAACCTGTTGTTTTTTTTAATTTTTATGGCTAACATTGGAATAATTGCTAAGATTTTAGCACACTAGAAGATTAACAAGTGGTAAACATGAATTTCGATTCGGGATGACTGGATTCAATTACTTAATACCTTACAAATTTCATGATGCACGCTGACCGATATTTTTTATGCACATATTGAAACGAAACCTTAAATTTTAATCATCCAGCAAAATGTAAGAATATAAATTTATTTCATTAGTAATTTGTGATTGGTCAACGTTGTACACAAACTACCAATAAATACATACAAATGATGAACATACATAGGTGAAAAGTATCCCGTCTTGATCGGCAAAACGAGAATGACAATTTGACTAAGAGATCAGATATTAACAGTTTTAACAGTTCACAAAACATCTGAAAGCAAAAACAAGATAAAAAATAACCGAAGAGAAAAACAAACTCTTAAATTTTCGATGCTTGGGTCTTTAGGCTTTTCTTTGATGTCACATTTTAATTGAATCAGTTCTAAAGTTGACATCTCCAATGGTATCTCAGAATTATGTTCACCAATTAATTCTATGAAAACAAAATCATATGGTACAACAATAACAATAACATATTCTGACCTACTTTCCAATTTTACAGAAAAATCAATCACTTCTATGAGGTAAGCGCGCATAAAGTTGTACGCCTGATGGTATATTAGTGGGAAAAGTTTAAATGTATTTTTATCTACAATTCTGTATTAGGTTGTCAGTAATTTAAAAATGCATACTTGGGACCGAAATAACGACGGGTATTGAGATCTTGTAAGAAAAGAACGATAAGATGGGATCTGTGAGAGAATTTTTTCATTTGCTTCAATGAGTCTGCAATATGATATTTAGATACCATTAGAAATAATACATTGGACATCCGTAAACATAAAATAACGAGTAAGAATATAAAAATCATTTGAGTAGAGTAACTCAGTCCGAATCCACAAAGAATGGAAAATATCACAAAGCAACATCTAGAACTTTTTAATCAGAATATTTCAATTTCACTTGCTACCTTGAGTCGACTTGGTCGTTATTTCCCACCGAGTATATGTATTCAACCACAGGTTTATTCTCAACAGTAATTAGATCACTGTACTTTATTAAGCTAATTATCTGAAGTAAAAGGTATCTTGTAAGCTGACAAATATAAGCTAATAACAATAACTTACTGGTAAATCGAAACCGAAATATAATGTGAAATCAAAAGGGTTTATGCATTTTAAGTACGATAAGATATGCGCAAACTTTTTCATCGGAAAGATAGTAGTAGTGGTGATAGTAGGCCTTTTGGAGATTTCACAAGTAGCAACATCCGGAACTCCGATTTCTCGAAAGTATTGTTGTAATGGATGATTCTAAGAGAAAATAACTTCAAATTTAATTTACTTCTGGTAAGTACGTCTCTTCTTCTTCCATGTCTGATTTATATCATTTACACCTCTATAAATGTGGAAAATCACAAAAATGATCGTAATTTGACGTAGTTGGTTCAACCAAAGTAATCGAGTGCAGTGATCTGTAAAAACGACAATAGTTCATACGAGTAATATTCAACAGGATAACAATGATTAATTTGATAAACAGAAACTAAAACAGACCCAAATACTCTTAACAACTTGAGGTGGTATGATTACAATGTCAGCCGCAAGTAAACAAAAACAGTTATGACAAAAAAGAACTGAAGTACCAAAAATATGAGATGACCAGTGAACGTCTAAATGATGCTGCATTCATTATATGTGGCGAAATACATAACTATTCGAACTATGATCAATTTAGAACTCCAACAATTAAGTTGCTAATCACAGGTATTTGCTATCTCACAAAACACAGTTTAGAAATACTTCATTCTAGGAAATTAACAGGCTTCCATGGACTCAAAATAATTATACTACATTGTAGCTATCATTCGCGCATTTACTAACTACATTTTGAGTAAAGTCGAAATACTTAACTTTCCATTTTGCTATGAAAAGCTTGACGTACAAGCGCAAATTTGTACCAAATACTTTATGTAACTGGTTTTATATGGCTTTTCTGGAACACTGGTAATTATTTTACTTCTCCTACTACGCAATCAGACTGATCATGATGCTTTAAAAGAGACAAGTTGAGCGAAGACTTTAAAAGAGTATAAAAAGTTGAAAGATCTATGTTTACAATGATTTAAAATCATTAGTTTATAACAGGGACTTCAAAATGACCATAAGTAAAAGCTTCTGCCCGATACAATAAAACAGGCATAAAGAAGTAAAACCTTATCCATTCAACTAACAAGCCGAAATTAAGAATTCTCCAAATGATTATTACATAACTCATACGTCCGTTTGATAACTACCTGTGGGATCAGTAGTATGCCAATGAAATTATAAAATGAAAACTCAACAGCCAATTATCATCACATGAATCAGACATAGTCAAAGCAAAGTGAAAAATCTATTGATACATATTATAGTAAATTATTTGTCTAGCTCCTGTTGTAGGACTAAGCGAACTAATCCTGTATCGAGTCTGGGAACTGTATGTAGTTGCAGTTTCATCAGACACTACGGATTTACGAAATGAAATCAAGTGCAAGTAACTTACAATTTTAAGAGTCAAATACGACCTATGTTGTAACTTTAAGCAGCTGCCATGAAATTTTTGGTGAAATGAAGTATCAGTACGTGTAGTGTCAATGTACTTTCGTGATCTCGTGTCCTACTCGAGGTGCCAGACTGTGTAATAAGGGGGGAATTTATGTTTTTTGAATATTTCTTCATTTTGTGTGAACACTCAGGCCATCAAAAATATGAGTACGATACACCACTGATAGATGTGAACCAGTATCTCCCAAAACCGTATACAACTACCTGCCTAATGAATACTTGGATTCAGCGTGACCTACCTTTTAGTGCATTCTCTAACATATATAGCTTGAATTGCTAATTGGCAAATGGCACAACTTCCCCGAAAATTAGATATAAGTTGTAAAACATGCCATTATTTTCCATTATGGATTATTTAGGAAACTATGTTAATGGCAAATGTTACTAGAGTAAAGGTAGTTTCAGTAAATATCATCGATTCTTGCCTTCCTAAAAATGAGTATAGTATTTTGTATTTGATGTGGCTCAGAATAATTTAAACTGATTACATGTGAAGGCGTATTTATAATGATGATATGAGTCCATAACAGGTTTTGGAAACCTAATATTTTGTTAATACTGATAAACGGCCAAAAGTGTGGTATTGCTACATGGTGCCCCCAAATGCCCTGGTACGGCCGAGAGTGGGGAGAGTCCACCCTCCCTCTCGAAATACTCTCACATGAACACGCATATATAGCCTCTGCCAGGGAATTCCTACTCACTGCCTTCTCGTGGCGGGGGTGTTGCTTACGAAATTGAGAGGACGAAAAGCGAATGTCCGACGCCTCAACCGGGTTGGTGGATATAGAGGATTCACGTAGAGTTGGAAAACCCTCATTCCAAACCAATAACGTACATGAGCTCCAAGATCCTAAGAAAACAAATGGGGTATGAATCAATCGTTGGTCAACGGCTACAATGGGACGTTGCACCACTGCCTTATAGATTAGACCTTTAAGTCAAAGGCTCGGGGTATGGCCCCCCTAAGAAAACCACCTGCTTTGGTTTGAGCACCCGGGTAGTATCCCTGCCCTAATATAAATCGAGTGATTTATATGGCGCATATCTGTTTGGTGTCTCCTTGTACCAATGTTTGTGCTTAAATGAATAAATATACTGTCAACTTCATGGCTACACACTACTCAAGGAGAAGATTGTCCGGTGCTGAAAGAAACGATATTCAACCCTTCGATGTCCTTGAAAGCATTAGTTTGCCACATGAAGAACGGGGGAAAGTTTTGATTTACAGTAACATTAGGAATATGAGGACGAAAATAAATGTACGTGTTGCCCATATGTAAATATAAACAAAACAGAGATCAGTAATCTGAATGACTTGATAGGTCATGCAAGCGAAATCGAAAAGCTGGTAATCCTTCAGGAAAACGAAGATAACAAGTCGAGTATTTTTGTTCACAACACGATATGAGTTTTATGGAAAGCCTTTAGGAGTCGCTGGTATCGATTCAGAGCATAAAGTGAACGAATTAGACATGTCAGATCCAAAATACGTGACAAGACTTTAAATGATTTTTGTATCAGTGTGTTGTAACTGGTAGCTTTGAAAGAAGTTGATGTCAGCATTGACGCAAACTGAAAAACAAGTCAACATTAGAGAAATTGAGCAGTCGTTCAAGACGGTGATACTTCAAAGACAATCACCTTCACTGTTTATTACACACTGGGACAACTCCGTGCTATGAATGAAGAGTTTGCAACCGTTAGTTGTTTAGTGTTGATTAGATGTTCAGAGTTTGACACTGTGTTTGCACAATGAGCCCGACTAATCGGTCAGTCGGTATCTGTAACCACAAATACCGGTCGAAAAGATCCTAGTGGACTGTCCTCCCAAAACCAAATCACAATTTCAATGGGAAAGAGACAACTGAAGCCATACCTCAAAAAGTCACCAAGCCAGATATAATCGCAGTAACAGAAACCTGGCTGACACAGGCTATATATAGTGTGGAACTTGATTTTGAGGGTTTTATTTTAGTAAGAGCCGACAGAATCCAGAAGCGTAAAGGACGGGGAGTAGCTCTCTTCATTAGGAATGCTATCCCATTCACCATTATCGACAGTGTATCCCATGAGAAAGGGGCATGTGAATCAATTAGCTGCCGCTTGAAATGTAAGGGACAAGAGTTGCTGATTGGTTTGGTCTACCGCAGTCCAAGCTGTGAGGTAAATGAGGTCTTGCTAAACAGTTTCAATACTTGGTCACAAAATAGTCGATATCTAATTCTAGGAAACCTTAATGCACCCATGGTAGACTGTAAAAATCTGCGAACTGAAACGTCAGATGATTCCTTCGAGCAGGAACTAATTGGTGCGGTTACCATATGTTCCCTAGTGCATCATATGAAAGAAGTGACTAGGTGCGACCCGGACTCGGAACCATCCTTACTAGATCTTATATCAACCCATTATGAGGATGACGTTACGAACCTCAATTACATGCCACCCCGAGGTAAAAGTGATCATGTAGTTCTAACCTTTGACTTCCATATAATTGTCCAAAACGAGCACGCGTCAACTAAATCCAGACCTAACATCAGGATATTATACACCCTGTATCGTCAGTACATTGGACAATAGAGCTAGAGTCCCCTATTGAAACAGCTTGGGACGTATTTCGAAATTTATACTTGAAAGTTACTGCACCCCACATCACTTGGACTATACTAAGGGGGTCAAGGAACTCTCCACCATGGTTCAGTAGGGAGGTTCCAATCCTTATCCGTGAGAAAAATGTGGGATAGATTTAGGTTACTGGGGACTGATGAGGCAAAACTTCAGTATCGAAAAGTGCCTCGACCATCCGTAAGTCTTGAAGGTTGTACGAAACAAAGCATCAAGGAATACACAGAATGCCCTAGACGCTTGTACTCATATACAAACCAAAGGACAAAAAGAAGAGGAAATATCCCAGCACTATGGGGACACAGTACTGCTTCATCATTATTGGAGGACGACTTTGGTAAAGCTTAAGTATTCTCAAACTACCTTAGCAATGCATACACCATAGAAACGCCCCGTCAGTTCATACAAATCCCCACACACACACTGGACAACGTGACCATTAAAGAACTCGATGTCTTTGGTCTGCTAAATAAGCTTGACATATGCAAATCCATGAGACCCGATAAGCTGCATCCTAGGTTACTAAAGAAGCTAGCTAGCTTCGTTGCAAACCCTTTAAATATATGCTTCAATCTATCCGTAACCCAGGGTCATTTACCAAAAGACTGGGAGAACGCCATAGTAAGTCCTGTCTTCAAAACAGGTACTAAACATAAACCTGAGGACTACCGACCCGCTAGCCTAACTAGTGTGGTTGTTAAAATTTTAGAAAGGATTATTCGGAAGGAACTGTTTAAGTATTTCGATGAACATGGGTCCTCTTGGAAAAGCAACATGGTTTTAGAATAGGTTATTCCTGTCTCACTAACTTATTAGTGGCTCGTGAAAGCTGGTGCGCTCTCAAGGACCAAAAGTTACCTGTAAACGCAGCCTATATTGGCTTCAGCAAAGCTTTTGACAAAGTTCCGCACAACTGGCTGTTATTTAAGCTAAGAAATGTCGGGGATGGAGGCAACCTATTGATGTGGATAAAAGACTTCCTAGTTGGGCGCCAACAAAGAGTACGGGTGAACTCCAGGTTGTCCAGCTGGGAAACTGTTGTTAGTGGAGTGCTCCAGAGTGCATTGTGGGGCCAGTGCTATTCCTCTTGTATGTAAATGACCTTCTTCGTCTCCTATCACCATCGGTCTTGCTATATGCTGACGATGTCAAGATATGGGGAGCGATATGAAGTAAGGGTGATAGCTTAGAACTCCAAAAGGACTTGGAGGAATTATCTGAATGGTCTCGAACCTGGCAGCCGCCGAAAATTACTTCCAAGTGTTTTGTGATGCATATCAGTCAACAGGGTACAGATACATACACGATAACACTGAGCTACCTGTTTTCCAGACACATAATGACTTAAGAGTCATCGTTAGCCAGGACTTAAAGACTACTGCACACTGCCGTGCAATATCCGCTAAAGGTTTTAGAATTTTATAGTCAATACGTAGGGCCTTTAGTCATAACGACGCTAAAACTTTCTTGGCTTTGTATAGTGTTCGTGCGTCCTAAACTTGAGTAGTGCATACGAGCAGCTAGCACCTGCTTAAAAAAGTGAGTTTTTGGAAAAGGTTCAGAGAACAGCAACTAAGCTGACTTCCGGAACAGCGAAGCTCCTGTATGATGCTTGACTGGCCAAGCTAAACCTATTCCCGTTGTCATATCGAAGAACTAGGGGTGACTTGACCAGTTTTCAAATCGCTTAGTGATAAATTTGCACCTGATATGCCCTCATTTTTCTCGTCTTCGAAAACAGAAAATGTACGGCGATACTCCAAAAAAGTTCATAAGCCCACAACAAATTACTTGTCAGCTGACTATCGACTTTCCTATCGAATCGTCGACGAGTGGAATTCATTAGCTCAGCACGTGGTTGAGGCTCCATTCGTCGACTCTTTCAAAAGAAAGTTGGATCAACTGAAAGACCACCATTGCCAGGACTAGCGCATGCCATCAAGCCTCCTGTCCTTTCCAATCTGAGACTGAAACATTAAATGACGATATGCAAGGCCGAATGTAGCCACTTTCAGCCTTTTCGTTAAGTGCATGCAAGGCAACTGAACGTTTTCCGAATAGACCCTTCGCGATGGAAACTGTTTACAGACTCCCTGAATATATTTGGGTTTTTGAAAGTCTGAAGCCTATATTATGACACCAGACACCTTTTGGAGCAGTACAGGTTGTTTTGGGTTGAGTGCCATTGTGACTCTGGATGTAGTGGTTTTCTATTATCAACATACTCTTTACTGATTGTCATCAAGTCACTTGTACATAATGGTAGTATTGTGCAGATAATATTCCACATACGTCGCGAGCTTGTTCTTCTCGTCGTTATTACACATTAGTAAATTGTTTTGATGAGTGATCGATCTCTAGGAAACATGTGTAATACTGAACGCCGAAAATCAATTGTGTACTAATTAAGTGCAGTTTACCTAAGCACTACAAAGACCTGGCCCCATAACGTGGTTCATCTATGAATAAAGGAGTGGGCCACAAACATATATGCAAATACGTTAAACCAAGAATTGGGTAGGAAACTTTAATCCTTTTCTAGAAGCTCCTCCCAGAACATTATTGATTGGGACGCATATAATGTACCCTTTCACTCAATCTCAATATTAAGTCAACCATTTGGAACCTAAGCGTTACGCAAGGTCCAGATATACCGCTTATTCAATGGTGAACCCTTGAGCATCTCAAAAATCATAGCACAAATATCAAGGTTCAAATGTTTGTGGACGCGAAATAAGGAGCTATCGTTTAACGAACTTAATTACTCTGTATCAGCAAATCACTGATCCCTCCAGGTATGGCATTTCAAGGGTGCAGTGTCAGTTATTATGGCAAGCCCATATACCTTATTCTACATCCTATTTTATTCATTTTACTTGAACCATATTTTGACCTTGTCAATTATTCGCTTGTCAGTCTTGATTATTTTTATATGAGCGTATATGTGTGTACACTTCATGTCCCATGACTCATCACATATTTGTAGCTTATTTTTGTCTGTCCGTAAATATTGATTAACGCCTGACTAAAAATGAGTTGGCTTACCAGCCATCTCCGCTGTGCGTCATTTCTCTTCCTTCTATTCCATTCACCTCATATACAAAATATATGTATTCAAAATCACATTCTCGTTATTTGACTTATTCAATTCAGTTATTGGCTAACGTGATTTAAGTCGACGATTATATACGAGAATAGGCGATAGCAAACACTCATACAATCTAATTGGAGTCAGATCATGGGCCACTAAAAGGGGATCTGATTCAACTTCAAAGTTGGGCAGACGGTAATGGACCTACATTTAACACTTCAAAGTGTAAATTAGTCCGTCTGCGACATGTCGCAAACTATAGTTACAACTTAAGAAACTTCTCTCTAGTAGTATCCCAAGTCTAAAAAGATTTAGGAGTCCTGGTGCCCTACGATTTAAAGTCATACGCTGTGACAAAAATGCTTTTCGAGCAAACCTTGCACTGGTAACATTGAAGCGCATTTTGACCGATTTGACGGAAGAACTTTCTACATAATCTTCAATAGTTTTATTCGTCTCCATTTAGTGTACCGAAACATAGTATTTCCTCCCTCACCCCGAAAGGATAAGAACACCTACTTAAGCTTAGTACCAATACAATCCTAAAGGGTAACACTCAGAAACTGGAGGTACAACATAAAAGAACAGACTTTAGACACAACTTCTAATCTCTAAGAGTTGTAAAATGCTGGTATTCGCAGCCGGCTGAGCTAGTCCAAGCGATTTCTCAGGAGTCCTTCAAGAGGAAACTTGACCTATTCTTAAGGACTAAGGATAATATCCGACTATGATTTACTTATTTCTTTTTTTCCTTTATTATCGTTAATATACCTAGGTTCCTGCCTGGAGGTATTGGTGATCCATTGATACTAAACACAGAAGCCTGTTAAGCGAAAGCCTTTTCTATTCCGTACACAACCATTTAAACCATTGAGATATATTTGACTATGAAAAGGAAAATCTTTGTAAGTCATGACGAAATACTATCTTGAGCCCCTCAGAATACGCCAAGATTTCCCTTAGAAGGCTCCTGAGTAGTTGCCTGAACCACATCAGGGAAATTAATTACAAAGTTTGACTACTCTTAAGGAGAACGCCTTCAGTTCTTCCTACTATGTTGTGTCTCTAATTTCTAGGTTTTAACCCTGTGTTTTGTATCAAAAATGAGCCCAATTAAGTGTTTATTAGAGCATCCAGGAGTGTTTAAAATGCTATAAGTCACTAGAAGTCCACTTTAATGACGCTTATACCCTAATAGTTAAAGTTTCAGTAATCTGAGACGTTCTTCGTATGGTTTGAATTTGAGTCTCCGAACAAATTTCATAACTCACCGTTGAATATGTTCTAGTATATTATTATCTTTTAGGGTGGGAGAAAAAACACCACATTTTTGTGTTCTTAATGGGCTCCAATAAAACTGTTAAAGATTAAGATGAAAGTCCTACCGTCGAACCGGCCAAAAATGCGCTTCAGGGTTTGCTCCAAAAGCATTTCAGTCACGGTTGGCAAGAGACTTTAGATCACATGGTACCAAAACTCCTACATCTTTTTCAACCTATGGTACTTCTATAGGATAATTGCCTAAGTTGTACATGTAGTCTGCAAAATGCCTCAAATGTTGATGAAGAAAGATCTATGATTAAAATTAATTATGTGGTAAAGTAGAACTATACGTAAATAAATAAGTAAATATGTTCATCGGATTTCATCACACCAGACCTATAGATTTAAGGATTTTCTTGTTCTATTCAATTTATGTTATGGTTGGGAGAAATCGATACTTGCAAAAACAAAACGTTGATACTCTTCTAGAAGGTCTTATATTTTAAGACACCATTATCACACTAACAAAAATTTGAATTATTGACAAGAAACACTACTTATGGCGTCCGCTATGTATAAAATGTGAATGAAAGTATAGTGACGCCTTTAAATAAAGCATTTATCAATTGAAGTCACTTATACTCTTCCAACCCTGATATTCTATGTCGTTTTACTGCTGTCGAATCATGTCATTAATTGACTTAAGTCGGTAGAATATATATTAAGAGAACCTGAACTTAAATGTCCTGAGTTCGGTCTAGTGTGAAGTCGTGAGTTCGAACTGGGAGCAATAAAATTCCGGTCAATCCGTCGTGACATTTATTGTTTCTGAATCTGATATCACCCAACTATGAAGCTATTGTCAAAACCAATCTGTGTTGACGTTTATGAAAGGTGAGTAGCTGTTGAAGAATGAGATTCACTATTGTAAAAAGTATCTCATAAAATAAATAGATGATCGACTTGAAGAAAAGTTGAGATGTCATCAGACGTTATCTCTACAGATGTGGTGTGATGTAATGAACGAACCCTTCTTTCTCGATGTTCCATCAATATTATAGTGTTAATTATTACGTAAACTAGGAATTCCCAAAACAACGAAAGTTACAGCAATTAGAACTAGTTGGAAGTATTTAAAATTTGAAAGCGGGCAGTCATCAAAATAATCGTTAATCCACACTAATACCACATCCTCCAAAGCCTAGGTACTAATCTGAATGTCTGCAATCAATTGTACCTCTTCTTCTTAAGTTCATCATGTGTCCGTCCGACTGTGTATTGAATGTAGACTCTTTATGCTCTAGAACAGCAAACGCTGATATCAAACTTTCGAATTTTATTACAAATCGAGCTCATTTGGGACTCGTGCATCACACTGAACAACTTTCCCGTAAAAAACAAATGCATTATGAGAACAAATAACATTTGACATGACATCAGAATTCGATTTTTCTGAAAGAATTTCTTCAAATTTAATAAGAATGTTATTATAAAATGGTGGATCATCAGAAAAATGAGCATTTATCAAGATTGCATCAATCAACATATTACGGGTATAATATAGGATAGTTGTTTATTAAAGCAGGTAGAAAAGTATTGAAGTATATGATTTGTAGATAAGGTAACGAGTGAAGAAATAAAATTAGTTGCTAATCAACGTAGTGTACAGAAGAGTAAAAAGCCAATAAAGAATAAACAGGAAGAAACTCACACTAACTTGGTGCTGATGTTATTTGGCGTTGTCCTAACCAGTTGATAGGTAACAGGCTCCATAGATGAAAGAACACTGGTAGTAGACAGTCGACTGTGTAGTTCTCTTGACGTTTTAGGGTGATAGTGAGTGTCCCTTAGCGACCGAGATTAGTTGAACAGTATCGATAGGTCCAGTGAGTTACCTGTCTACTTCAAGTGAAGAAATAGGGTAAAAAAGTATTTAATACAACTGCAAAGTAGGAAAAACAAGGCAAACTGAATTTTAAGTCCATTTTGGTCTAGACATGGAGAGAGCCTATTGTGTCTGAGTGGGGTGCAGATGTGTTCGTATGTGCTAGACCAATGCGAGTGAGGGCTTGATCAAGCAGTTTTACAAACGTATGTAACTCATCTGACATGCGTATTCCGGAGGGAAGACTGTTCCATATTATTGCACACTTGATGAGGAAGAAGTTTTCTCGAGTTTTTGATCTGTACTTCTCAACTTTGACCATAGATCCTCAACTTTTCTCTTGATCATAGTCTAGATTTAGAACCTTTCCATGTGATCCTCAAAAGCACCAAAATTTGAATGTATGTCCAACTGTCCAATCACAGGCTCCATAGTGATTTCAATGTGATGATAAGACCTGAATATCACCAACGTACATGGTCTATGTCGAGTGATTGAGTGCTCACTCGAGTTAGACGGGGATGGTTTGACCAGCAGCTAACTTTCAAGTCACACCTCACAGTCAGCACCTAACGTGGATTACTCTTTAGACATACGAAGGAACGACGGCTGTTTTGAAGACCGCATAACACAAAGGACGTTATTACAGATACGTATGAGTTAGAGTAGGTAAAGGCGAAAGTGTGACCAGCACCGCATAGGCCAGTTCATGGAACACGATTAATTAATGAGCTTTGGTTTTCATTGAACTTGACGGGGATTGATGAGCCTTTTGACATTCAGTGACATAACTGCCGGACGATTTGACTGGGATTCAGTGAGATTCCAGTGGCCCTACAGATGTAGTTGATTTATTGTATGAACTAGGAATCCTCTAGATAGAGTAATTTGAACCAAGAAGAACTTGGTGAGCACAAACGAACATATTGTATTTGGAATTTGAAATCAGGCCTTCATCAAGTACGAAAGAATCACTAGTTTATATAAGCACCACAATCACTATATCTACCTACAGACCTGTAGGAGCATTAAGCCCCAATCACACACTCCTCAAGGCTGAACACGAAACAAATGGGAAAATAGATATTCAGCATTTGACGCGGATAAATACCCAACGATAGAGAGGGCGGGAACAACGAATTGATCAGATGGCATGGCTCAGCCCCGCAGGTGTGGTCGCTCTGTACAACTTGCTCCTACTCATATTAAACATATTGTGCTCTGTTCAGACTGAATGTGCTCTCCATCATATAATGGTAGTTGTTACGATACGATGAGTCGGTGTAGACAGTAATGTGACTTCCACTGACCAGCAAGCATTGATGGTGAGTGCGGTGGCTTCAATCCACCCGTGTTTATGGAGGCAGAACATTTTGTATGTATCAGGCTCTTTATGATTGAGAAGAAGTCAATCAATC